CATAGTAAGTGCTCAATAAACATAGTGACCCTAGTAATCAATGGATGAGGACAGAGGATGGATACGAGGCAGGAGGTAGAGGGGGAAAGTCATGGGATTCAGGGTCAGCATCCTTCCCTCTCATAGTTCTTTTTTTTTTTTTTTAACATCTTTATTGGAGTATAATTGCTTTACAATGGTGTGTTAGTTTCTGCTTTACAACAAAATGGATCAGTTATATATATACATATGTTCCCATATCTCTTCCCTCTTGCGTCTCCCTCCCTCCCACCCTCCCTATCCCACCCCTCCAGGCGATCACAAAGCACCGAGCTGATCTCCCTGTGCTATGCGGCTGCTTCCCACTAGCTATCTACCTTACGCTTGGTACTGTATATATGTCCATGCCTCTCTCTCGCTTCGTCACAGCTTACCCTTCCCCCTCCCCATATCCTCAAGTCCATTCTCTAGTAGGTCTGTGTCTTTATTCCTGTCTTACCCCTAGGCTCTTCATGACATTTTTTTTTCTTAAATTCCATATATATGTGTTAGCATCCGGTATTTGTCTCTCTCTTTCTGACTTACTTCACTCTGTATGACAGACTCTAGGTCCATCCATCTCATTACAAATAGTTCAATTTTGTTTCTTTTTATGGTTGAGTAATATTCCATTGTATATATGTGCCACATCTTCTTTATCCATTCATCCGATGATGGACACTTAGGTTGTTTCCATCTCCGGGCTATTGTAAATAGAGCTGCAATGAACATTGTGGTACATGACTCTTTTTGAATTATGGTTTTCTCAGGGTATATGCCCAGTAGTGGGATTGCTGGGTCATATGGTAGTTCTATTTGTAGTTTTTTAAGGAACCTCCATACTGTTCTCCATAGTGGCTGTACCAATTCACATTCCCACCAGCAGTGCAAGAGTGTTCGCTTTTCTCCACACCCTCTCCAGCATTTATTGTTTCTAGATTTTTTGATGATGGCCATTCTGACTGGTGTGAGATGATATCTTATTGTAGTTCTTGAATGTCTGCTATTCAGCAGTGACCAGAGAGGCAGGCTACCTGCCCTCACCAATCTCTCAGTCTAGACAGGCAGGGAACAGGGAATTACCTGAAATGGACATCTCAGTGGGATAAATGCCACAACCAAGGGAAGCTCCGGGGTCTGTGATGGGGGTTGAGGGGAGTCTGGAGTGATGGGCTGGGTTTCAGTCCTGGCTCCACCACACCCTGGCTGCGCCACACTAGAGGCGTTTCTTAAATAATCTGATCTCAGTGTTCTACTCTAAACATGTTAATAATAAATTCTCCCTAGCTGTTTTCTGGCTATTTCACAAGGCTCCTGAAAGAAAATGGGTATGGCAAGGTGTGGGGGATGAATGTGGACTGTGCCAGTGGACCTCGGGAAATCCAGCCCCAGACATGGTCCAGAGCACAGCAAAAGGTCCTAGGCCGGGGGTCAGGGTACAGGGAGCCCACTCTGCCCGGAGCTCGCCGTGTGGCCTTTGGGCAAGCTTCATCCTGCCTGTTCCAGACCCCTGTCTTTTCTCCTCTTCCGTGTGAAGAGGGCATATGAAGAGATGAGTGGTTCTCAAACGAGGCTCCAGGGCACCTGTGGGGTTCCACAGAGAAGCGCTGGGAGCCTGTCACGGGGGTGGCATTGAGCCAGGGGAACTTCAGGTAAACAGCCTGCCTCCTTTACCTCAATGAGGGCAGTTCCCATTTCTATCTGCTACACATTTTGATTTCCAAGTACGTTTCCTCTGGAAAACAATAACAACAAAAAAGGGTTCCATGGCTACAAAAGGTTTGAAAAACTGCTGGGCCCTTCTAGCTCCAATCAGAGAAGGTTTAGGTCTAACTATTTTCTTCCAAGCATTTATTCCACACTCACTACATGCCAGGACTGTTCTCAGCGCCCTGCAGGCTGAAACGTGCTTCATTCACTAGAACACCTCCCAGCTCCACGAGGGCCACATGACTGCAGAAGTGACTCCATGCGTCTAAGAGGGTCCGGGGGGCCATTCCCCACCCCCCAGCCGGGTCTTCTGGGCGCCTGAGCCGATGACCTCAGCACAGGCCAGGTGGAGCCAGCGCTGAGAAGCAGCAGGGCAGGTGTGTGCAACACAGGGTGTGGACACAGGAAGTCAGTGTGTCCCAGCGCCCAGAGGAAGAGAGCGCTCCAGCCCGCCTAGAGGCTTTCATCCCAGGCATCTGCTATGCAGGAGGAAGTGCCTTTTGCCTTAGCAATGTCCACGGCAACAAGGCCACTGCCTGCTGCGATCCATCCCCAGCCACCCTGCTGCCATCGACACCCTGTGCCAGGTGGCTGCAGATTGGATTTCAGGGGTGGTGGCCAGAACCTGGAAGCCTGGAGAAGGCCCAGAGTTGGGGTGGTGGGGTCTGACCTCATCTCCAGCCAGCTCATTATGGGAAGCAGGCTGGGCTGCCAGAGCTCAGTGCAATCCAGCTCTCTTGCCCGACCAGAAACAAAAGTGGGAGGGGATGGGTGGAGGTGATCTCACAAGCACCAGCTTGGCCCAGTCGCCCAAGACAGTAATTTAGCCAGACTTTGTGTACGTATTGCCTGAGTTTTTTGTTCAGATTGTGTGTTCTGGAACCACGTGGCTAATGCCACTTGGAGGAAACTTCTGCCACGTGGTGGCAGCGTGCCCCAAGTGCAGACAGAATGCCAGAGTTCTAGGGGCTAGTCTGAAGGGCTTACTGAGCAACGTTGAACTATGAATTGACCACAGCAGGTGTCAAAGCACTAAAGAAAGGATGGGTGACACCCTCTACCAGGCACAGTGCTGAGTTCTGCCAATGCAAAAATAAATAGGATGCAATTCCTGTCTTCAAGCAGCTCATCGCCTAAGGGCGGAGACAGGTAGCTAAACTGCAGTTACAATCTATTGTTCACGCCCTGCTGGAGGGAAGCAGGGTGGGTAGCTCATCTCTCACCACAGCTGTGCTGTGAAGCATTTCCTCACGTGTCTGGGCCCAGCTGCAGGCAGGCAGGCAGGCTCAGTGGGCTCAGCTGGGCTCACTTGCTTGTCTGGGAGCCGGCTGGCTGTCTGCCGGACTGGGACAGCCTTGGTGGGACAACGGAAGCAACTGGGCTCTGCCATGCACGCCTCTCACCCACCAGCAGGCCAGCCTGGGCTACTCTCAAGGCAATGTGGTTGTGTAAAAGACAGCAGCACATGTGTAACGCTTCCTCCATTTGGCTATGGAGGCATGTAATGCTGGCCTCCATTTGTAATGCAGCAAGTCCAGCGTCAGAATGTGAAGGAGCTAGAGTTCCATGGCCAAGGGTGTGTATATAGGGAGGGGTTAAGGTTTGGGGCCATTACTATATCACTCTGCCACACAGGGAGACCGTGGGAGCTCTGGGGAGGGGCCTCACCCAGCGCCCAGGTGGTTAGAGGAGCTTCATGGAGGAGACATCTGAGCAGACCCTGGAAGGCCAAGTCTCGATCTGCAAGTGGAAAACGGAGGTGGAAGGTTTCTCATGCACAGGGAACAGCATATACAAAGCACGGAGACAGGAGACTGCTGAGTAGTTTAGCATTTGGAGACACAGGGGCTGGAAACGAGGTCACCGACCACAGCAGCGGCCAGGCCGCTGCCTTGCAGGCTCCAGTGAAGAGCTAGGCTTTTATCCCCTGGGCAGGAGGCATCCATGAAAGTTTTGAGCAAAAAAAGAAAGATAAAGTCCATCAGATTTGTGTTTTTAAAGGATAGCTGTGGCAGAAGAATATGGGATAGGTGGGAAGCGGGGGGAGTCTGCAGAGAGGAGCATGGGTTGCAGTGGACCCAGTGAGAGAGGCTTGGGCTTGAACTGGTGCGGGCAGACTAAGGCTGGGGGTGTGTTGTCCAAGACAGTGTGCAGACAGGATGAACAGGGCCTGAGGACTGCCAGGGAGGCTGGAGCTGGGAAAACAGAGAGGACAGGTGGCCTGGGACCACCTCCTGGCATTTTGCACAAGAATTGCAATTGTTTTTTCCTCTGTCTGTGCTAAATAACCCACTGACTGGTCAAGCGCCTCCCTTCTGTTGGCCAAAGGAGTCTGGGATGCATAGCTGTGCGAAGCTGTCCCAGCCGTGCAGAATTGGCCACTTCCCCTCCCCTCCTGGGCTTCAGTTTCCCCATCTAAAATGGGACATTTTAGATCATCTCTCAGGGCCTTGTGCCTTGGGCAGGGCATGTTCCATTAGAGGCACGGTCCTCAAATGCCAGAAGCAATTGGACCGCTAAAGAGTTCCCAGGGAGCCTGTTAAAAATACACATCCTTGGCTCCACCCCAGAGACTCCAGTTCTGGAATCTCTGATATTTTTGTGTAGCACTCCAAGTGATCCTGATGCCTGGCAGGTCTGGCTGGGCACAGCTGTGTCCCCAGGGCCTGGCACAGTGGCCCAGAGCACAGAGGGGCTGGAGGAAACGCATGCTGGATCTGACTTGGGGGCTCAGCTCCTAAGGCCTTTGCCTGGTGTGAGGATGGCTTCTGGAGGATGTGGCATTTGGGTTGAGCCTTGACATCTAATGGGCTTTCTGGCTTTTTGTTCATTTGTTTGTTTTGCTTTGTTTGGAGGTGCTCTTGATTCCAAAATGAGTCTGTGCTCCTTCTAGAACTTATCTAGTCACTGGAGAAGAAAGGAGTCAAAAGAAAAACTCGCCCATCATTCCAAAACCTGGACGCAACTAGGGTTCTCTTTGCCACATTATTAGATAAGATACTGATGCCCAGAGCAGTACTGGGGACCTGTGAGGGCAAAGGGCTGGAGATGAGAGCAGGCTGCACGTGGTGAGAGCCCAGTGAGTGAAGAGCGGGAGACATGGAACATCCGGGTGGTGCCAGCTGGTGTCAGGCCCCTGCCATCTTTTCACACACCCTGTTTCAGGCCTGTTGCCCCGAAGTCCAGCGGGAGGAGGGCCGGTCCCGGAGGGGTCAGAGGCCTCAGCCAGGCTCCCTGAGCACAGCCCTGACGCCTCTCCTCCCTCTGCGCAGGTGCTGTTTGCCCTGAACCAGACCCTGCTGCAGCACGAGAGTGTGCGGGCCGGGAGCTTGCAGGCACCCTACACCACCGAGGACCTCATCAAGCACTACAACTGCGGGGACCTCAACGCCGTCATCTTCAACCACGACACATCCCAGGTGAGGCTCCCCTCCCCCAGCCCGGGCAGGCTCCGGGACACCAGTTCCCAAGGCCAGGCCCATAGGAAGGCATTTATTAGACACCTACTGTGTGCCAGGCACAGGCAATCTTCTCTCCAGCCATGGTAAGCAGGAGCTTGGGCACCCCCGTTTTACAGGTGGGTGAAACTGAGGCTCAAGGAGGGGAAGAGACTTGCCCAAGGCCACACCACTTGTTAGTTGTTATCAAGTTGTCAAAAGCAGTGCTTGAGCCTGGTGTGTGTGACTCTGGGGCCTGGACCCTGGAAGCTTTGCCTGTAAGAACAGGGAGGCCTCGTTGAGGTTTAGTCCAGCATCTGGGGAGATTAAAGCCCAGGAAAGGGAAACCTCACAGGTGCTCAGAGCTGGGGCTTGAGTCCAGCCCAGGGCTCTCTGCCTCTATTCTAGTCCTAGAGGAAAGGTTACCCCAGGCTGGGCAGATGGTGAGTGGGAGCCCAGGAGCTGAGCATGGCTCCACCAGGCCTCCCGCTGCCCTCGGGATAAATTCCAAGGTATTTCATAGGTAGTCACGGCCCCCTCTCCATGTCCTACCCTGCATGGACCTCATCACAGCCCAGGTCCCCTGCCACAAAGACCTCATTTTGCTGACCTCTGCCACTTGTAGCACTTCCCGCACGCACCTTGCCCTTTCCCACAGCTCTGCCTTTGTTCAGGCTCCTCCCTCCCAGTTTCCTCCCATTCTGCCCGTGGTCCAGTGTCATCTCACCTGCGAAACCGCCCTGACACCCTGGGTGGGGTTAGATTTTCTCCCGGGCACCTCTAGGCCCCCTGTGCTTTCTGTGTCTGATGCTTGATTATTCATTCATTCAAGAGGCAGCTGAATTAGTCAGAACAGGCCACCTCCCCGCTCAGGACACTGAAAGGCTCCCGATTTTTCTCAGGATAAAGCCAGAGTCTCTGTGATGGCCTGCGTGGTCCCGTGGTCTTTCCCCAGTCTCCACCCCGTGTCCTCTGCCTCCCCCGTTGCCTGCCACATGCCACTCCAGCTGCGCAGGCCTCCCTGCTGACCCATGAGCCCACCCACACACTTCACCTTTGCACTGGCTGTTCCCTCTGCCAGGAAGGCCTTTCCCCAGGTATCACCGTGGCTCACCCCCTCTCTGCCTTCAAGACATAATGCAACTATCATCATCTCAGTGAGGCGGGCCCCGATTGGGTCTAGAATTGCAACCTGACGCCCCTCCCGCGCCCCCCCCAACCTGTCCCCTTTATGAAGCTCCACTTTTCCTCATGGCCTTTATCATCTTCTCACACACTTATATATCTTGATTCATTGATCAGTCATTATTTATTGTCTGTCCTTTCCGATTACAGCATAAACCCCCTGAGGGCAGGGTTTTGAGTCTGTTTTATTCACTGATAATTGGCTAGAGCAGTGCCTGGCACAGAGCACGACTCAGTAGATATTGGATGAATGAAGGAAATAGTTTATAAATGCCAGGCACAGTGCTATGGAAAGGGATATGGCGGGGCGCCAGAGAGAGCTGCCCTCATGGGGCTGAGGGTCTCATAGGAAAAAAGGAGAGATTCAACAAGCAACTGCACCGAAGCATGATCCTTGCTACGAGGGGAAGCAGAGGATGCCCTTGGAGCCTGTGGCAGGAGCAGGAATTTAGGTGGGCTTGGGGTAGGTGTGGGGAAGGGCTGGAGAGAGGGAAAGATTCCTGAAATAAGAGAGGTCAGAGAAGAGCCTGACTTGGCCACAGACAGGAGGCAGAAGAACATTCCAGCAGAGGAAGCCACGCAGATGAGCTGGAGGCAAGAGACAGCAGGAGGAGGGCTGAGAGTTTGGGCTGGAGGCATAGCCAGGGACCCCGCTAGATCCCAAGCTCCTCGAGGGCAAGGGTGTGCTGTCCACTCTCGTCGCGCTGCCCAGTGCAGGGCGTGGCACAGAGCGAGTATCAGTGAGCGATGCTGCACGGGCAAACGCAGGCGTGTGCTGTGCTCGGTGCAGTGCAGAGAGTGAGGGGGAGGAGGGGTGCGGAGGCCCTGCACAGAAGGCTGGGATTCTGGGTGCCCTGACTCTCTCTGGTAGAGGAGGGAGCAGGGAGAACCCTGGCAGCACGAGGCTCACAGGCGTTTCACCAGCTATCCACCCTCCCTGTGACAGAGCCTAGCACTGCATCCTCCGCTGGGCAGAGGCTGGCGAGCCCTGAGCAGCCAGGGAGCTGTGTGCCTGAGGGGTACCCTGTCCCCACTCAGGATGGCCTGGCCATGAAATGGCCAGGCTGGGGAGAGTGGTGTGCAGGACAGGACCCTGGCCAGGGAGGGCAGGACACTAAGGTGAGAGAGGGAGGAAGGGGGCGACCCCGGGGGATGACAAGTGCAGATTTTCTTTGTGCGGTGTCCAGAACCACTGGCGTGTCTCTGACAGGTGAACTACGTCGGGGGTCTCCCGGCAGTGCCTGTACTTGAGGTAGAGCAGAGGGCGAAGGTAGATTGGCCCAACCAGGTTAGAATAGCAACCCAGGGGTGCACAGGCCGAGTCTAGCCCTCAAGGGAGGGACTAGGCAGCCCCGCCCCCAGACACAGACAAGCCTAGTGTTAGGGCAGCAAGGCTAAATCCAGTGCCCGCGTGCTAACAGAGAAGGGGTCTGCGGCTGGAGGTCTCGACGTCACAGGGGCTGGAGGGGGCAGTCACCGCCTGCAGCTGGGGAGGGCTGCAGGTGAAGGTGGTATTGGACCAGGCTTGAGAGTAGAGTCTGGCCAGGTGTGGACAAAGCCAGGGGCTGGCAGGCAGAGCGAGCTGTCTGGCAGGGGCACAGGAAAGTGGGAGGTCCCGAGGAATGATCGGCAAAGCAGACGGCAGACCATATGGGGGTGAGAATGTTCACTGAGGGGCCGACACCCTGAGGTGTTTAAGCCAGACAGGGACGTGGTCAGAAAGATGCCTCTGGCTGCAGTGCCGAGGCTGCTGGAGCGGCCTCTGGAGGCGGGGGCTGGACAGATGCAGGGCCCAGGATGATCATACAGGCGGACAGGGGCCAGGCACACCTCACCCTTGGTCGGCTTCACCTCATCCCCTCTCCAACACACCTTCAGAAATGGCTGAGGCCCTGGCCTCCTGCAGCTCTCCGGTCACTAGCACTGTCAGTGCCCCCAAATCAGCAACGTGATCCAAAGGCCCCTCCCCTGGGAAGACTTCTCTGAGCCCCCAGCCTGTGTTAGGTGTAGAATAGAAATGCATATATTTATTGTCCATACTCAGACACTATTGAGAGTAAAAGGTCAAATGTAATTGAGTCAGAATAATTAATAGGCATGCAGCAATCTACAATAGCCGTGAACCTGGATTGTCTTGAACAAACCAAGACACGTTGTCACCCTATTAGCGGCCTCCTCCAGGCTCCCACATACCTCACTGCCCTCTAAAACATGTGTGCCCCAGTGTCCTGATCCCCACTGGCTGTGAGCCTCATCCAGGGCAGCAGACCCTGTCTGAGGGTTATCTGTGGCCTCCTAGCTGGACACAGGGCTGGACCCATGGAAGTTCTCAGAAGGTGTCTGTTGGATGGGCAGGATAAAGAGAAAGGATGAGGACATTGAGGTTGTGACATCAGCAGACCTGAGCACTTGACCGCTAGACCTGACCCAGTCCTAGTCGGGGGTCAGGGGAGCCTCACAGCCCCACTCCAGCTCTGCCTGGCCCGTCTTCTCATCACTCCATCTTGGACCTATCACTTTAGGGTCCTGGGCACCCGACATGTTCTCTTTAAAATGTTATCATACGTCCTGCACTTGAACTTGTTGCAAGAGATTTAAGACTCCCAACAAGTCTAATCACATCATTAATTTGCTTCCATCCAGCCAGGCCTCATCCTTGGCATGGAGCCAGGACCCATCAGCATGAAACATGCAGAGAATGTCAGCCAGCTGCAGGGCAGCCCAGAGAACCCAGTGGCTAGCCCAGCTTCTTTGTGGCTTTGACATAGAACTCTCTAGTTCTTGTTCTTTTTTTTTTTTTTTTTTTTTT